CTGAACCTGTCTTTGCCCCAGGTAGGTGGGTGGGTGGGTGTGTCTTTCTTGGCCTTTCTACATATACAGTCTTTTTTTGATCTGCTTTGCTGGGGCCCAACACCCTGAGATCAGAGATGAAAGTACTCAGGGCCATGCAGAATGGAGCTCACCAGAGCTTCCAAAAGATGACCGTCCCAATGAGAGCTCCTTTCGGTATCTTAAATTGACCCCTGTAACATCAGGGACTGCTTCAGGGAAGGGGTAGCAGGTCATGCAGCTCCCATGAGACTGTTCTGCACACAATGCCCATGTGAACATGGATTATTTGCCATTTTGGGGATTTTTTAATGCTGGTGGTCCTGCAGCAACTACAGTAAAGTGGCACGGCTCAGTCTATTTAAACCAAGGTTCTTGCCATGTCCCCCTCACGCAGACAGAGACCAGTCTTTCAATTAAAGTAAGCTCCGTAGATGAAATTTGAAGTGAGGCAGACCCCAAATATTCAACTTTTGGCAGGTGGAAGAGGGTTTTGGACAAAAAGGAAGGGGCTTCACAGACACTAGGTGCCATCAGCTTAGTTCCACATCACATGAACATTTAGGGTGTTGTGGTCTCATCTCCCATGCCAGAATTTGGCCTCCACCACTCGTGAGGGGCAGGTGTAGTGTTGTTAGTGGTACTGTTCTTTGAGTATCTTCAGAGTCCTGCATCGGTGAAGTCAACTGGCTGCAAACCTGAAGACATGCAAATCACTGAGCGTCTCAGCATTGCCGAAGCACAGTGGGAATCTAGAGCTATGTGGAGTTACCCCTGTTCAAGCTCATTAGCCCCTTGGGGTGGATGGTGGAGGCAGTTGGACCAGGCCTCTGAGCAACAGCAGCTTCTGGAGCTTGGACAGAATAAAATAGGGTTCCTTGAAAATACTCCTGGGGAAGGCTGGGCATTGGCTCTGGGCTCCCTGTAATTTATGCTTCTCCCGTAACTGCGGTTTAATGTTACATTAACGCACATTTCCAAACTCTGGCTGTCTCTGTATCACTATTTCCATTCATTTGGGGAGCGAGTTTTACTAGTAAATACCTCACGAAGGAAATAATCCTGCCAAGAGCCCTTCTGAACATCCCTCTGCTCCTGAGAGCTCTTGGAATTCTCTTTCCTCATTTACACACACAAAAGGCCTCTAATTAGCTTTTAGTTTAGTCCGATTATGAATGGGAGTTTTGACCTTTCAAAGTGATTAGCTTTTTCAGCTAACAAATTTGCATAATGTCAGTCTCTAAAGCATATACGCAAGCCAAGGCTGTGCCATCAAGCAAACACCAGCCTAAAGTTAGGTGCTTGCTTCTGTATTTAGGCAAGTAAATTAGGCTTGGAGCCTGCCATTGCCCATGTGCCAAGTCTTGTGTATGCAAGCAATCTAACTCTAGCCAGTGGGTGGAAGGTGAAGCACGTGCGGCAGCATTTGGAGGGCTAGGGCCTATGGCCAGAATATCTGGAGCACTCTGGGCACTGGGCAGGATTTTCAAAGGGGCCAGATTTTCACACTGGATGGGTTGAGCGAGCCCTTGCTAGGCTGCCCCATCGGTAGGCCAAGGTTAGAAAGGATGTAGCCTCCATTCGGGTCAGGTTTACTTCCTTAATTAAAAAAATTGCAACCTGGTTGACCGGGGCAGCGAAATGAGGCTGATCTATTGGCATGTGTACTGGTGCATCCACATTAAGATTAATTTTTCATCAATAGCATTATCACTTACAAGCCTTGCGTGGGATGCAGCAATCCTGTTTAGCTTTGATGTTAAGTTTGTCCTGTAACAGACTCTACAGCAGCAAATGCATTGATCTCAAAATCGTACGTTTAGGAGACTTTACTATTGCTTATGCTCCTGGCTTTGATTTCAAAGAAACCAGAATCAGTCCCACAAAAATAAGAGAAGGCCTTAACAGTGGCCCATTCTCCTGCTGCCAAAGCTGCAGTAGCAGACATGATGTCAGTCCTATTAGCAACCTTCTTCAAACTGGTTTGAAGATAGGCCATCTTGCTGCAACCAACACCACTTCAACGAGGTGTGTCTGATAAAGTGGCTTATATATCCAAGGTGGCAGGATGGAGGGAGTTGGGTTTTGACTAGAAAGGGCTTAAAGAACTATTGCCCAGCAGCTGCCCATGTGTATCTCTCTTTTCCTTTTGGCAGCAGTGGCCAATGTCTAGTTCAGCCTTTACAGCCCCTGCAAGACTTGTTTCACAGTGGTGGGCATAAGCTGCAACTTGTGGAATTTAAGCAACCTGGTTTGCAGACCTGATCTGAAACAGGGATGAGTGAGAAAGGGGGAGATTTTCCAAGAGGTTTTGGAGATTGTATGGGGCTTGTGCCCACTGTATGTTTCTGGGAGTATAACCCATAGGTGCCTGTGGGCAGTCCTTGCTTGCCACTCGCCACCCGCCCCCACCGCCAACACCGTTGCTGGCGTCCGCAGGCAGTCCCCACTTGCCACTCACCACTTGCTGCTTGCCACCAACTACAAAAGGTGCCTCCCCAGTCTCAGGAGGCACCAGTCGTTTATGATATAAACACTGCATTTGATGGGAATTCATTGAGACTTATGCTCCCAAGTCAGATGCCTTGAATATCCTGCACTGGCTAGTTGGAATGACAGTGTCTCCCAGGAGGCCAGTCTGCTGGTGAGGCTGACCCAGTCATGATGATGCTGAATATTTTAGACCAGAGCACCTAGTGCAGAGGATGGTTCCTTGTGATGGCCACCCACACTGGACTCGCCTTCAGGAGAAAGGTCACTCCTATGAGAATAGGCCCTTGAGGAATCGTGCAAAGTAACATGATATTCAGCATAGCCTAGGTCTCCTTACTCAGCAGACTTCATAGAATGATAAAAAAGAGAGTTGGCAGGGACCTCAGGAGGTCACATCTAGTCCAACCCCCTACTCAAAGCAGGACCACCCCCAACTAAATCATCCCAGCTAAGGCTTTGTTTAGCCAGGTCTTAAAAACCTCCAAGGATGGAGAGTCCACCACCTCTCTGGGTAACCCATTCCAATGCTTCACCACCCTCCGAGTGAGAAAGTTTTTCCTAACATCCAACTTCAACTTCCCTTATTGCAACTCGAGACCATTGCTTCTTTTTGTTATCTGCCAGGTAAATCGTTCTTCTGGGTCCTGCTTTAGCATGACTTAATTTTCTAGTCAGGCCGAGCGCCCTGATGCAGGAACTCTGCACTTCACTTACTCTGCTCTTCTGGATTTGAGCAAAAAAACTTCCCGGAGACAACACAAGCGAAGGACACCAAAGGAAGAGCTGGAGTTTGCTGTAACCCCCTGGATGAGCCAAAGGAGAACAATAGGCTTTTAGAAATTCTTTGTGGTAGCTAAATTCAAAACTCTTTATCAGTGAATTACATTCCTTTATATGAGCAAAGCCCTGGAGAGGTACATTTTATTACCCTGGATTATTAAACACAAAGTTATTGATAATGGAACATTAGGATCTTCGCTTTTGTTTTTAAATTGGGAGTCGCAGGAATGGAGACCTGCTCTTTTCTTCGCTCGTTTTTATCAATGCACGGATGCTACGCTGAACTAAACACTTTTGTCTCCGCCGAGCTATCAGAGCCAGGGGTTTTATTTCTATCTCTAGTTATTATTAGCCAGTCCTTCTAGCAGATTTCATATCTCTGTGGAACTGGGATAATAGAAGATAAATGGTTGCTCTGGGTAGGTCCTCTTGGAAAATGGTTCTCATGGCTCACCAGCCCTGTGTCTTGGCGATTTCAAAGCAGAAGAAATATTGCAATTTAAAGAGATAATTTTCTTTCAATAACACCCTCCTCCCCCCTGAGAGTAAGCTCTGATCTGGTGACCTCAGCACAGGCCTGGGAGCCAGAAAACCCTGTGTCTAATCCTGGCTTTGCTAGAAACTCCCTTTGTGCGCTGGGGGAAAAAAACCATTGGCCAAGCTCTTTGCCTCAGTTTCCTTGTTGTAGGAGCCTAATGTGGCTCCTCCAGCTCTCAGGGGTGCCACGTCAACAGTGAGCATGAGCTTTGCAGATGGAAAGCACGATACAAATGTTGAAGGTGAGGGCTGAGCCCGCGTGAATCCCTGCAGTCTGGGACGAGGGAAGGAGATGAAAGGGAGTGAGAAACATGTTGGGGAGGGAGTTTGGCTGGCAAATGTGCAGCAGCAGTTTCACCTGGAAGGTCCCTGCCCCAGGGGAAGATCTTCATGATAGAGGATGTTCAGCTGCTAATAACTGGCAGGACATGAAAGCACACATCCTACTGAGGATAATAATAATGGTATTTAGCTCCAGCCATAAACGAATCAAACGTGCTCCTCGTGGCCCAGCCCGCTGGGCTGATTCGAGTCAAGCCCAGACCACCAAGGTGGATCTGCTTGTTTGCCCTTCTTAAAACTGCCCAACCTAACGCTTGCTTCTCACGAGTGCACGTTAGCTGAGCCTAGTAGCCTGCCTCCTGCCGGACAATTGTGGTTGGACTGAGATCCTCTTGATCACTGGCATAAGATGTTGCTGCTCTTGGATGCTTCATTGGTCACCAGACTCATAGTAAGCAGGCTTGTGGAAAAAAGAGGGTGTAGTGTTTGGGGTGGGGAGGAAGAGCTAACCCAGGAAGGAAGGCTCTTGCTGGGATACTGGGATGTGTGTGTGCCGAGGGGGAGTCAAATACCACAGTCCTGCCCTGGTGGGGAGGCAGACTAAATCTGAGAGTATCCAGTTACTCTATCCTGTACCTTGCATTTTCCTGCTGGGCTCACTGGGGGAAGTACCCACCCTCTCACAAGAACTCCCTCCTATTAAGTGATATGGAAAGGACCAGGCAATTGCCACCCCTTGACACCTGTCTGCAGCCCCTGGGGTGCTGCGACCACCAAAGGAAGCCCTCCTGGACTGCATGGTCAACCATCCCCTATTCCCCCCGCCTCCCCATCTGCCAGCTCCCCTGATTAAAGACACACATGTGCACATATACACCTACTGACATTCTTGAACACAAAGCGAGCCCCCCCCCGAATGGGTGCACATAATGCTTTCTTTCCTGCACACATGCAAGGACCTTTGAGTTGACTGTTCTGTTTTATAACACTGCTGTTTCCTGGCCTGACTTTATTACATCTGTTCTTTGGGGGATGGTGTTATAAATTGGGTATGTGATGATGTGTAATCACTAACTGAAAAGCCAATACATTTTCACTGCAACAGCAGCAAGACAAATAAAGCAGAGAAGAGAGACTGGTGAGGCTCTGACAAAGGGGTATATATATATATATATATATATATTTTAAATCTGATTGCAAATTGGAAACAATGTTATCCTAATGGAGCTGGTTTCATCAAAACAGCTAGGGCTGCTGCTTTCTTTCTGGGAGAACTCCCTTGTTCTTTGGGGAGGGATTTGGTTTCCCTGCTGAAAATTTTAGACCTCTCTTTGAGTCCCTTTCAGAGCTCAGATTACATCTCCTGGCGCTCTGCTCTGAGTCTGGCTGGAGAACACAAGGACCCTGGGCCAGAGTTGTGCTATTTTCCCTCTTCTGAGGTGCCTTCCTGGGTGGTACTGCAAGTCGCAATGCAGTGGTCCCCTCTGATGAAGTGTGCTTGGCATTTCCCCGTGACAGTCACAAGATCCAAGGTTCCTAGTGACCCATGGTATCACATTGGCCGAGCAGCTCATTAGGGTCTTGTCTACACTGCCCTGGTTGCATTGAATCTGTTAAAGCCCAAACAATTCATTGCATCCACATGGGCCAGGCAGCATCGGTTTAAGACCCACTGAGCGCATCTACATGGGACGTTTACTGCACAGCGGACTAATTAGCTGCGCAGCAAACGTCACGTGTCTACACATTAAGCTAGAGTAAATTATAGAGTAAAAAATTAATTATTAACTATTATTAAGTTTAATAATTAATTATTAACTATTATTAAGTAATTATAGAGTAAAAAATAGCTACCCTATTAAGCTAGAGTAAATTAATTTACTCTGCAGCAGGATAGTACTTGTAAACACAAGTACTATCCTGCTGTGGAGTAAAAAAACGCAGCAGTGCACATGGAAATGCAACCCTTGCTGGCTGGGGCATGAGAGTGCCTCAGTGTGTGGGCTACCCACTAGCTTGTCTTGCACTGAAGTACCCTTATGACATAGCCAGCTCCTCCGCAGCACATTGTGCCACGTCGGAGCAGTCCTAGGTTCGATGAGCATTAGTTAGTGTTCCCGCTGCCATTTTGAAGCACAGGGATGCTGAATACATGAGATTTGGAAGCTGATGGAGCACGCTAATTAGCACGCTCAGACATGCTGTAATGACAGTACGTTGGAGCAGCCTCCCTGCACGTCTACAGGCACCCTAGAGCCTATCCTCCCATTCCTAGCCCAGCTTTGAACAGCAGCGGGGCATTGTGGCAGATTACAGTAACTAGCCAAATCGTTCCCACTTGCTGGCACCCACTAAACCAGATCAGACATATTTACACCGGGAAAAATCACAGGAGCAAGGAGGAACAACTTCTTCTTACTTAGAGCTCTGCTGTAGATCTGATTGAAGGAAGTTCTAGGCCATTTGACTCATTTTGTACTGAAGCCATCTCAAGATCTCTCCCATTATAGCAGCCAGCGTACCTCAAAGAGACAGAGGATCGAGGAGGCTATTTCCTCAGTGTACACAGGCTCGAAATCCACTCTGCTTGATTGTGATGCCCGTGCAAACCATCTGAAGTGCTCCTAGGGATGCTGTTCAGGAGCAGATCTTCACAAGTGCAAGCTATCTTTACTCCAGTTTAAGCCAGCGCAGTTTCCACCCCCACCACCATGTGAAGAGGTTAAAACAGTTTGTGACACAGCAAATATCTTTAGCATAAATGAGGGCTCCCTGAGGGAAGAACCTGACGGGAGCTTATGTGTCAGGAGGAGTTGACTCTGGCTCCTAAGACTGTTGCCATTAAAAGTAATAATCACTTGTGCAACACTGTAAATGTGGATGGAGCAGATGGGCGGGGAGATAAATGGCAAGGTGGTAACCAGCTGCAACTTGAGATGTGCTTGTATGCCGCTGCACAAGTTTATCATGATAAATGTCATAGCAAAATCAATTCCCTGTGTATTTTTGGGAATTACAGCTATCATCCTGGTGTGATTTATTTGCTATGTAACCCGGACAGGGCTCTTTGTTCATCATTTTGAAAGTTCATCTGAAATTGCTTTGAGTTCTTGGTTTTCAGGAGTGACACATCCGATTGGTATCTCCTCTCCAATGACATATGAACTGGGGGAAACACACTGGACAGCAAGACTTTCCACCAGGATTATGTCATGTGGCTTGTATCCACCATCCAAAGGAAAGGAGATGTGGTAATGGCAGGCTCAGCAGATGGGGTATTGGCCCATCTATGTCCCAAGTCACAAGAAACCAGCCGAGACCACACGGACCTGGCCCAATTTCCCTAGTCACTGGGTGTGTCTACATGTGGCACTTTAGCCCAATTTAAGGTGCACTAAGGGCACGTGTCTGCATGTGCACACCCTTAACTCACCTTAAAATGGCAATTTTAGGTTACTTGTGCTTAAATTTGATACCTGCAAAAGCAGGTATCAAATTCAAGCGTGAATAGCTAAAGCACCTTAAGAAATGCAAAACTCAAGAACTCTTGGTTCAGAGATGCTACCTTTTATTAGACCAACTAAGAAATCTCAAAAAAAAAAAAAAAATTGGTTTCTGCAAGCTTTCGGGCACTCACACCCTTCTTCAGGCCGAGGACAAATCCAAGATGGTAAAACTCCTCTTAGGTAGAAAATAAAGTTCATTTTCCATAGGGGAACTTTGAGGCTGGAAGTCTGTTCCCTTGGGCCTCTGAGAGTCTTTTGTGTGAGATGCTAGCACCTTAACACACTTGTAGATGTGCTAAGGCACATCAACGCCATGTATGTCAACTGACTCGGGGCTAACTTTAGTCCGAAGTTGGTCTGCACACTGCGTTAACATGTCTTAGTCGGCATACACAGTGTTAATGCACCTTAGCATGCTGACTTAGACTAACTTTAGTCCCAAGTTGGTTTGCACACTGTTTCAATGTGCCTTAGCGTGTGCACGTGTAGATGCATGCTTGAGTCGCCTTAATGGGCATTAGGCAAATGTGCGTTAAGTTTAGGCACGTGTAAAAGCACATGTAGACATGCCCATTCAGCCCAGATTAGCCCAGCTTGATTCGATAGACAATGCCAGAGTGATTCCTGATTCGGTTGGTGTGGACTGTGCTGCTCTGCCTCGTAGCAGTCATTGACAGCCAGGGTCGCAGCCCGATGGGCCCGGTCTATACTGTCTGCATCACAGAACCCTTGCAGCCTTCCTCTCCCATGACATAAAGGCACAGAGGGGTAAAATGGCTTGCCAAGGTTAGGCAGGGAGAACCCAGGCGTTGAGTTGTC